AACGGCAAGGTAGGCCAGACCAAATTAGAGAGACGCACTTTTGTGGACGGGGGCGTAACGAAGCGGTGCTCAATTCAAGTTCTAGAGACTGGGAAAAAGCGGCAGCGTGGTGGGCAGAGCTAAAATCCAAAGTAGCCACATGGTCCAGAAATAGTACGAAGACCGAGTTTGCGGCGAAAACTGGGGTATTATAGTGAGCGCTAAGGCTCTGTGACTGAACGTTTGTAAGTTTGTTTGTATGTAAGGCGTGAACATCGGTGCATGAAGAATAAGCAGGAGGGCTCCGATGAAGGTGAAGGAAAGCCTAACACGGCATTTGCAGATTCAGATGGGCTTATCACTGGCAGGCACGCACTGAGCATATCGAAAATTGGTACAACATGACGGTTAACCATGCAACATGTAGGGAAAGCCTTTCCTCTGCACTCCTAGAGGGAGGGGGGTATTTCGGTTCTGTCTTGTCTCAGGTATTGCAGCCGCAATAGCGCGTTTCGTCGGAGACGAATAGTAGACACAGGGAAACATTACTTCAGCGCGGTGTGCATAAGCTACCAACACGAGGTCTTCCGTAGTGACGTGAACGAATGTCTTTAGAAGAAACAATGCGCCTAGATTCGCCTTCAATGGAAGCCGACAGGTAAACGATGCCGAAAAACTTGGCAAAAAAAAGAAGAAAATTGAAGTTTTATGCGGGACGAAATTAGGCCTGTGTTTGGTGCGCTTCAACAGAGCGCAAAGATCTGCCTGAAGAGCAGGTGATAGCCTACTTCTTTTTTGCACAAAAGCATTAAAAATTTCCAAGTATTCGCGTAGTTGGAAGAGAGCTGACAATTGTGGTCCAGGAGAAATATTATAGAATATAATGATAACGACTGACTTGGATAGTTAGCAGCAAGCCAGCTGGCTGGGAATCCTCCTATCGACCAACCGAACAAAACTATGTCCTCTTCGCGATACCCGAGCTCACTCTGCGCATACTGAAAATGTTTCTTCGTGGTCTTCATCTCACTCAGAAAATATTATTATTATTTTCTACCTGCATAACAGCATCGGCAGCAGCCAGCGTATTATTAGGGAAAGGAAGTCCCGAACTTTGTCCAAAGCCCGGTTGGTTCCATCCAAGAACCTACGGAAGTAAAGTTTATGAGGAGGCAATACTAGAAAAATTCCAACTACTAAAACTTTGTAAAAGAACTCACGGAATAACCCATCTGCGCCGGTGTATTAGCAATCCCTATTTCATAGTAACCTGCGTTTCCTTCACAAGTAATAACTAGTATACGATTTCTGAAATGGGAAATATTGTTCAGGAGTATACACTCAAATGCTCCAACGAGACGCTAATCTCCTACCTATGCTCGGGAGTGTCTTCTCCACGTATATACATTGTATCAATGAGATCACCTTCAGTCGTTCTAAGCCATGCTCTTCTACCATGCTAAATATTACAGTTAGCCACTAGCTTATTCAAAACGTATGTACTGAAGCCTTGAATGCAAACTCTCCAACCTTCGCGGAAACCATTAAATTTCTTGCTGACATTAAGCTTCCACTTAAAAGCCAATTCAAAAGCGATATAGAACCTGGATAAAGCATATGCCGACCGAAGGCATGCACGGCATACCAGGCTGCGCACATTACCAATGGACTACCTGAAGCGAAAATGTACGAGAATTGAACAACATATGAAGAATGTCAGCTGTAGCGCACTCACTGTCTCCAGAAGCTCCTCGATGAAAGTACAATTTTTCATTTCGAACAGCATGAAAATCGGCGTTAACGCCCTCGAGATCAAAATCGTAACGCTTCAGCGCCTTTAAAAATAATTTCTAAAAAACAGACACATCTATAAATCGCTAAGATAACTCTGATGAGCCCTTTCTAAATCACACAGTACTTGCATCATAGTTTTGTCGCTTTTCAAAAAAATAATCCTGCACAGGAAGAGTCTTCAACCATTTCCACCTTACTATAAAGCGCTTCGTCTGTCGTTCTGTCTCCTCCCTCGTCTGTCCGTTCTGCCTCTGTCGTTCTGTATGTCTGTCACGAAATTCCCTAGCTCCTCGGGATCCGCCTGGAGGGACCGGGTCAAGTGTGGGATGGGTGGGCAGGGTCTCACGTAATACAAAACACACATCAGCTAAGCGGAGCCCCGCCCACAGAGGGCGTGGCGTGCGTCGAAATGAATTGTACCAAAGACCAAGATTTCGATTTCAGTGAAAAAACGACCTCGAAACTGGGCCAAAAAGTGGGCTAAGGTGTGCATTGGTAAGTAACATCGAATTAGGGAGACCCACCCCCGGTGGGCGGGGCGTTCTCTAAAAAAGCAGTGCTTTATGAAAAATTTCATAACTCGGTTGGGAGAAAGCCTACAGAGCAGAAAACAATTCGGTGTAAGGGAGCAATGTCTAAGGTGTTTCCCGCATACATGACGTGGGCGGAGGCCCGCCCAGAATGGGCGGGGCGCGCTCTGAAGTGTACAGCATTTTCTACAAGCCCTCATAATTCGGGTCGGGGGAGCCCTAAAGAGCCGGAAAAAGGTGGATAGAGGTGTATGGAGGAGTCCCCGAGTTACAGCTAGTTCAAATAAGTGCGGGCCTGCCAAGCTGCGGCGCGAGTTTGCTACGAAATTTATCAACTCGTCCATGAACTCGGAGGCTGGGAAAGTGGATGGAGTGTGTGGAGGTGTGAGGTTATTGCATTGCCGTGGGCGAGCCGACCAAAGTGGCGGAGTTTGAACGAAAGTTAACTCGTCCATGAAGCTCCGGAGGCTGGGGAAAAGGTGGATAGAGGTGGGTGGAGGAGTGGAGCTGTCAATGGTGGGCGGGGCCTGACCAAAGTGGGCGGAGTTTGCGACGAAAATTTATAACTCGGCTCCATGAAGCTCCGGAGGCTGGGGAAAAGGTGGATAGAGGTGGGTGGAGGAGTGGAGGTTAATTGTCATTGGTGGGCGGGGCCTGACCAAAGTGGGCGGAGTTTGCGACGAAAATTTATAACTCGGCTCCATGAAGCTCCGGAGGCTGGGGAAAAGGTGGATAGAGGTGGGTGGAGGAGTGGAGGCCAGCTGTCAATGGTGGGCGGGGCCTGACCAAAGTGGGCGGAGTTTGCGACGAAAATTCATGACTTGGCTCCAAGAAGTCCCTGAGGCCGCGGAAAAGGTGGATGGAGGTGGGTGGAGGAGTGGAGGCCAGCTGTCAATGGTGGGCGGGGCATGACCAAAGTGGGCGGAGTTTGCGACGAAAATTCATAACTCGGCTCCAAGAAGTCCCGGAGGCCGCGGAAAAGGTGGATGGAGGTGGGTGGAGGAGTGGAGGCCAGCTGTCAATGGTGGGCGGGGCTTGACCAAAGTGGGCGGAGTTTGCGACGAAAATTCATAACTTGGCTCCAAGAAGTCCCTGAGGCCGCGGAAAAGGTGGATGGAGGTGGGTGGAGGAGTGGAGGCCAGCTGTCAATGGTGGGAGGGACATGACCAAAGTGGGCGGAGTTTGCGACGAAAATTCATAACTCGGCCCCAAGAAGTCCAGGAGGCTGGGAAAAAGGGAGTAGAGGTCGGCGAAGGAAAGGAGGTCAAATGCTATTAGTGGGTAGAGCACGCACCTAAGTGGGCGGAGTTTGCCAAAAGTGCCGTAATTTGGTTCCAAGAGGTCCCAGGGACCGGTGTGAAAAGGGGGTAGAGGTCGGCGAAAAGAAGGGAGCCAAATGCTATTGGTCGGCAGGGCACGCACCGAAGTAGACGGAGTTCGCCACGAGATTTATTGTCCGGGCCGAGGACCGAGAAAAATAGGATAATGGTTGACGAAGAAAGAGCGCATAGAATTTAGCGGAGAATTCAGATATTCGTATTGTATCAAGCCAAATTTGAAATTTTTCGTCGCACCATCAAAATTCGCCACAGATCTGTGTTGCGCGCGCAATGCGTGCGGCGCCAACTGGTTACATATAAAGCGCTAGAAACATAATTTCATCAAACCCAATTCAGGCCACAGAGCCTTACCAATGTGTATTGCAATTATACTCCTCATTGCACTTATAATCTAACTCCACCTCTGGGAGTAGTGACCCGGAAGGTTCGAATTCACATGAAATTTCAAATGAAAACCTAGGTCAATCAATAACATGGAAGGTTGCTTACAAATATGGTCACGAAAACAGATACTATAACCAATGAACATGCATGTCCGCAATGCTGGAACTGTACAAAGACGGCGAGGTGACATCATTCGCTACCAATGTATAATGACTGAGGACGTTAGAAGTGCAAGAAGTAATCGATAGGATAGTGTACACTTCTTAGAATTGGTATTTATTTTTCATTTTTGTATTTGTTTCATTTCCAAGCTTTTTTTAAGCCCTCAAAAACGACAGAACGGTCGAAATGGTGACCAAAACAAATCCTCCACCACAAGAACCTCGAGGCATGGGTATAACATACAACAATAACAATGGAATGAAGAGGTTTGAGTTCATAGTATGGATCTTTCAAAAAGTTCAGGGAAATGATTGCACCAGTAGTTACAATGAACCAATATGAAAAAGAAGGCGGGAAGCTTCATCATTTGCACTGATGCGTTAACGAATAGATAGCGCGCCGAGCTAAAAGGCCATGACAAATAGTTGCAACCTGTTGATTTCGTGTGGAAAAGCCTTAGTAGAGCAGGTAAAAGTTAACATGTTACAGATTTGAAGGATTCAGTAGAAATCATCGCGGTTTCAAGGTAAGCTGTGTTTATGAATCATCTCACTACGGTAATTTAGACAAACCACTAATCGCTGTCAGCATTTTTTAGGCATACTAACGCGTGGCTCTTGTTTCCATACTGTAGGAGTACAGAAGTCTAGACAGACGAAAAGATGCGCGAAATTAAGAGCAAATGGATCCTAAATGCACTCGTCAGAAGCTGTTTGGAGCCCTCATTCAGGTTGTGATCCGAAAGAGGGCGAGGGGTACTACGTAGTTACCTTTTCCCTTGACGCTATCCATTACGACCACCTCAAGTTCATGGGAGCCGCTTGTTGCCTTCAAATGTGCGCCTATTCTTGGCACAATCGCCAAGAATGAGCATACATTTGTAAACTCTTCGTAGGCACATTCCACGGCTAGGCTGTTGATAAAATTTCTCCCGTGAATGGTGCAGATGAATCGCACGCGCAGGGATAGTGCCACTGTAGCAACTCGGAATTGCGGGACAAGGGCTCTTAGCAGCGACTGCTGATTACGTACACTTCTCGTCCCTTCTGCTCGGCTGTTCAATTTCCTCAAGGACAAGAATATTGTCGCACAGTCCACATTACAAAAAAAGCCTTTCAGTGTTTTTGGCATCTTCCTTTCTTCTTTTATTCACTTACTTGATAATGCGCACCTCTACATTCAATTTCTAGAGCAAAACCTACACCTATCTGAAATGTGCCTTCGAAGAGAGCGTTTGTTCCTATAGAACGACCCATAACTCCCCCAAAGGAACAGGGAAGGATAGCACCGAGTGAGGGGACCCTATTTCGTGGAAATAGCATGTAAACCGCGGTTGCAGCATGTGCTGCACAGGACATGCCAACCGCAATACCTAAAAGCCGTCCAAATTTGCCGCAATTCCAACCGCAATTAAGAGTAACATCGCGCGGTGACTGCCAACTACATATTCCAGTCGTTCTGATTCCAGTCATTCTAAGCCAGCAAGCTGAGAGTCAAGAAGCGAAGTGGGAAATCCAAAGAAAAAGCAATAGGTTGCATCACTCCAATTACCGTCATGAGGCGGAGTTTGCGATGAAAGGCAGTCCATGAGAAATTAAGGTAGAGGTGGTCAGCGATCCGAGAACGAAGAAAACAAGGAAAAGCGACCTGGACCCAAAGAAATTGAAACCTCGCTTTTCTCGTTAATTGCCGCACAGATGCGACCCTCACCGGTGCAGCACTCTTCAATGCTAACGCTCTCTCAGCCTGCGGGTGCAGCTGGAGGAGAAACGCGCTTGGTCCCGCAGCCTTACTGGAAGGGCCCGCCTGCTTTTCGACCAGGTATGTTTTTCCTTCTTCCAACTCCGACCTTCCAAATCCTCCTTCAACTTGGCCCAGGCTAGTTCCCAGCAGAACGTATGCTGCAGTGTATACGAGCATAATCCCGTGACCTGGGACAGAGCTCCCCAGAAAAATCAAAATGTATCACTTAGGCCGATGTCATAGTTTGCGAATCGGCTGGATCCGAGCGTTGCGCCAGCGAATCGAACGTTGCACCAGCGAATCGAACTTTGCACCAGCGAGTCGAACGATGTACCAGCGAGTCGAACGATGTACCAGCGACTCAATAGTGGCGGGACCCAACGTTCAAAGGAAGCCCGCCACTTTCAAACAGTGTCACGTGACAGTGGACCCTTTTTGAAAGTGGCGGGACTTGACAGTGGACACTGTTTGAAAGTGGCGGGCTTCCTTTGAACGTTGGGTCCCGCCACTATTGAGTCGCTGGTACATAGTTCGACTCGCTGGTGCAAAGTTCGATTCGCTGGCGCAACGCTCGGATCCAGCGATTCGCAAACTATGACATCGGCCTTAACCTGCCTTAACCCGATTCCGTTTTCCCAATGATTTCAAAAAGAGTACTGAGTGTCATGCACTCCTGAGAGCTCTTCAGAGCCCACTCACGCACGACATAGATTGCGAGGTGAGCCCAAAAGTGAAACATTTTAAAGATTTCGAAAACACATGGCAGCTCTTGTATAGGAGAGGCGAAAAAGAACGAGAAAACGGTGGTTCAATTTTTATAGAAACAAAAAATTAAACCTAGAACTAGAACTCACGGAGACCTACCTGATTATCGTCAGATTTACCCGAGCCTTTAGCTTTTAGCCACACATTAATAAAATGCCGATACTCATGGTCCATCGTCCTACCGACGAGCCTAAAATCACATTACAGGATCCCTCAATGAAGTGTTCAAACGATACCCACCTTCCTCCGTATGCTAGCACAGCTAAATAGGTGGCGTATTTTAAAACGACCAGACCAGTGTGAATATTCAATGCTCCTCTGGTATAGAGGAAAACGAGCAGTATAGGAGAAAAAGCTAGTGATGTTGAGAAATAAAATAAACCTGAGAATAAATAACATACATATACTGTTACTGCAGCTGAACATAAACATTAATCTTACCTCTTCCGAGGGACATAGAATAATTTCCTATAGATTCAACAACGTTTGGTGTACGTTCCGGCTGGCCGAACGTTCGATAAAACCGAGGTCCAGTCAAGAGAGCATAGATACGCCCCATAACTTGAGAAAGCAAGCATCGAAAAACTCCGAGCAAAACATGAACAGACATCGAATGGATTGAATTCCATTTGGAGAAATTCTGACAATCGCAATCAGAGGTAGCTCTTTATAATTTGTACAAGAAAAAGCCCCAACAAAAACAAACACAGACAAATCAAAAACAACATAAGTTTACGAGGAAGTCTCCTCTTTGACGTGATTTTGATCTGGCGATTCTTTTCTTTGTTCTTCACACATGTGTTTCTTCTCACTGGTTTCCTCGTTCAGTGGAACACTGTCGATATGATCATGATCTGATGATTCCTTTCTTTTTTCTTCACACATGAGTTTCGTCTCACTGGTTTCCTCATTCTGTAATACAAGGAGGATGTGAAAGAAAATTAAAGCAAACACCTTGCTACAAGAGTGTAGTTGTTACTGAACATAGTGAACCATCTCCTCCCTTTCGGACAGAGAAGCCCGGGCTTCGAAGCGCTACGTATGCACGTGAAATAGTCTTGGGAGCAACATCAGACCCCTGCGAACACACGTCACGTCTTTCTTACAGTCTTGTACGTTCTTGTTCGCGCGAAGTCACCGAGAGTCATCTTCGGGCCATGTTGTGATTAAGAATCTTTTCCGTCAACTATCTCGCGTTCGGCGCCCCAGTCATGTTCCCCTTTAGTCTAGTGGCGTCCCGCTCTCTGTGCAAGATTGGAAGACCTCCTCTAACATGCTCACATCTTTCAATTTGATCCACTCCATCCTTAATAACGTTATTTGACCTTACCTATCTCACTCTTATCATTAGGTTTCTCGAACCGGAGTACAAACCATGTCTTGGCAATGACTTAAAAAGAGATGATGCGCAAGAGGAGGCACAAATAATCTCATGAGAGGAAAGAACAAAAATTGACAGATTTGGAACAGCAAAAGCTGTTTACTAACTGCGTTTACTTTCTGTACTCAGGAGTTCAAGGATGAGCTTACTACTAATGGTAATCTAGACTCGACTCAAGCGACACTGATTCGCCGTTGATTTGTACAAAGGAAAAAAAAACGAAGAAACCACATTAAAATAAAGACAAGGACGATAAATACCTGAGATCAGTCATGCCACGCATGAAGAAAATAATAGAAAAAACTGTCAAAAAAACCTAATAAAATCACCTCATTGATGCTTCCCTCTTCCTCATCACTGTCTTCCGAACTTTCGTCACTACTGTTTTCGTTTTTAACCTGAGAATAGGAATGAGTAACATCGGGAACAAGCTCAAATTATAGCGTAGGGGCAAGGCGCATCCTGCGGTAACAAACCTTTTTCCGCCTCTTCGCTCTCTCCTTCTTTCGCTGCCGCTTCGCCCTTTTCTTTGCTGTTCGCTCGGCTTCTATCCTCTCTATCTCCTCTTTATGCTTCCTGAACGAGACATAACATGACTGTGAAAACAACAACAGCAACAAAGCTTTTCCGTATTTCATAAACGGCTCACCTGTACTCTTCATCAAGTTCTTCTGTCTCCGCTACTTTGGCAATATAATCTAATCTGTTTTGTTCTTTCTTCCGATTGATCCTGAATATTATGTTGAATAAGTTCAGCGAAATAAAAACCATTTATGCCAACTGAGCACCCAACATCTTTGACTACAAAAGTTTCCTAGATACAGATACTGTTCATAATTTTTTATGAGTGGGACTCAACGTCCTAGTTAAAGGAAGCAATCACGCTGGCTTCCACGCTGGATTTGCTACCCTCGCGTTATCAACCGATAAGGTCTGAGATAGATTATGTTCGGACGAGCGTAACCCCATAGAAGATACGATATCATAAGATAAGAAGATGCGGCTGCTAAGAATAAAGTGCACTCAGAATGAAAACGGGACGATAACGATAACGGTATCATATCTAGCACGCTCTTATCGCACCCCTTTCCACATCGATAAGTCTTGGTTTTTGCTGAACGGAAGTGGATTTCGGCGCCTTATCACTCCGTTGATAAGGCGCCACTGCCACTGAAACTTCACGTGTTGTAACATTGGGCAGGACCCCTATCCACTCCAGTACACAGCTTTCCTTATCGTCCCTATGAGAATTATCGTGACCACTTCCTTTAAGAAGATCGGAGTCAAAAAATGTCCATGAAATGTCCAGGAAACTGAGAACATTTCAAGCAATGGATGACTGAAATTACTTTATCTGGGGGCGTGTCCTATCCTTCCCCTGGCAAGGGAACAAAAGGTCTGGAGTTACTTATTTTCAATGACAAATTCCTTATTTTCAGCACATGCTTACTGTTTCATACATACACACATCACGAGTGGACCCTTTCTTGAAGCATACTGGTAGGAAAAACCAAAGAAAATTTTAAGGGTTCTCGTCCCCCTCCCCTTGGGAATAGCATATGGTCTCTGATTTTTTCGATGAGTGGAAAAAGATTCCAAAGTAAAACTTCATGGCAAAGCGTAAAAATCAGAAACATACCTGTAGATATGATATTCTGCACTTCCAGCTGCTGCTGACGAACCGACGACATTTCTGACAAACTCCGGAGGTGGACGAGGAGGCTTGATCTCGGCACGGCGTGCAGGAATGGGTGCAGGCTTGTTCTGAGAACGAAACGAGAAAATGGTAAGCCAAGTCTCCCCACTTTCTTCACGATTTGGCCACAGCAAGCGGGCGAGTTCATAGTGCCCGCTTGCAGTGACTGTGCGGATAAATTTGAAAACGCTTCACCACCACAGTTCGCGGGCACCGTGAACTCGTCCGCGCTCGCCGCGGCCGCGCCCCAAATCGTGAAGAAAGTGGGGGTTTCCTTATGCCACCACACACTTGTCTCCCTGCCTCGTTTCTAGTGCAACTGCACCACATTCGGCGCTTTCCACTTAGAACTTCGAACATCGTATCACACCACGGGCAGTATTCAATCCCCCTGGGGGAAGGATTGAATACCGCCCCACATAAGGCTCCCATTACAAACAGCAGCGTTTTTTATATCTTCTTGACGAACTTCAGCGAGTTCTAGCGCAAGCGTTTCCGATGCATTTATACTTTGTATTATCACCAACTTACAATATTCTGCTGCAACCTCTCAAGTCGCATTCGCAACAAATCCGTAGCTGTGTGAGCTCTTCGTTCTTCCTCGACTATTGGATCATCTCTAGGCATTCTGAAACAGCAAACTTGATTCGAACGACAAGTTACCGACCATGAATGCGCCCTGTGTTACACCACAGAGCGCATTCATGGTCGGTCGTCCGATCGTACCGATCGCACGACCGACTATAAATGCGCCCATACGATCGTTAATGCCGATTCATAATCGGTTGTGCGATCGTTACGATCGTAGTGCTTGTTACGATCGTAATGATCGTTACGACCGACTATGAATGCGCCCATAGATACTAAAGGTTACAGTTCACGCCGAAACAAGGGAACAGCACGAAAGAGGAGCAAGATCAAGCGCCGATCCACCTCAAAGTGAATTGCTGTGAACCGTGAAATTCTATGGAAAAGGGTTTTTTCCTTTAAACTAGAATTACAAACATACCGAGCGAAACGGGATTTTGCGTATCAATAAGTCCGCAACCAATTTCGAAAGTCTGTAATTACACACAGCTTGTAGTTTATCTTACGGCAATATTCGAGTTCTAGGGTTAACTACTTTAGTTAAGAGAGATGTTGTCTCCTTGTTAGTTACCCTATTAGTTTATTGAGTCGTAAAAAGCAGTATATTGACAAGATTCTCACTCACAAGCACCGTAGTGGAATCTATCCATTCAATGTGAGAAGTGATGTCTGCAGGTTTGCACACTTGCGGATGGCAACAGCACCTTTTCTACCATAATCTCATTAACACTGTCCATTATAACCTTCTTTATTTTTTTCCTACCTACATTCTCAGGCTTGTTTGGGTTGAACTGAGTAATTTGAGAGAAATTGTCCGCGGGTTTGAATTGCTAGAATTTATGGGTTGTGTTGGCAAATTTACTTCTTTTCAGGTATGAAGAACAGAAAAAAGGTCCTCAGGAAAAGAAAGCATAATGTAAAGCACAGCGAGAAAGTGGAAGTTGAGGACACATCTGTTGAGCTCGAACCGACCGCTAGTGGCAATGGGAACGCTGAAGAAGATTCTTCCGACGATACGTGAGTTTTCATGTTCTACATGGTGAACTTTTTTTAATCTTATCCTATCTATTAGACTGACCTGTCTGACTATGCACACTAATGCATGCATAACACGTAGGTTATATGGTTAATCTATGAAACACGGGTTTCAGACTCCATTCACTTGCCTATTTTTTCCCAGGGCATCCTTTACTGGAATAGGTGCAAAACTAGGCTAATTTTTTGAATACGGTAGCTGCGCCTGTTGACAATGACTTCGCAAAATGCTAGAAAATGGAAGGACTAACTGTAAGCCTTATGGCTGGTCTCATTGTCAGAGTCCGCGTTCCGTCGGACGATTCGCCCAGTTCGGGAAGGAAGAGATTCTAGCTGGTTATTCTATCTTAATCACAGAACAAGATTGTTCGACATAACTTATCCGGGGTTGTTTCTGTAAAGGAGGATCTTCACGATAAGGACGAAGGTCGAGGAAGGAAAAATTTACTTAGTGCAGAGGCAGACGGGCCTTCTAAGCTCCCTCTCGCTGTCTGAACCTCTGTTTGAACTGAGAGCATTAGTGTTGAAGAGGATAGCACCCATGAGTGTCGCGTCAATGTGGTAATCAACGGGCAAGAAGGGGTTCCATTCATCGATCATCTTTTCTTGTTTTTTCTTCTTTCCTGCTCACTGACCATTTAATTTTCAATGAGTTGCCTTCTCCACGTAACGTCCGCCTTTAACAAATGTTATTAAAATCAATCTTCACCATCTGTGTGCCTGTCCCGCCCCGCATAACACATATGAGCGTAAAGGATTGAGGTTGAGACGAAGGACAACTTTTAGCAACATTCACACTCCGACGCTTCTTACCAGTAGGCTTTCATCCACGCTTCATCTGAGTCCCCTCCCACCCACATAGCGTTTGTGAGTGCAACCATTTCGCTGTCAACAGGAAGGGCGCAGTGTGAAGTGAAGCGAGCCATGATTTGACGCACATTATCGGCTGTAATCGGTACTTATCACTTAGCTCCACTCAACACCATTTTTTTGTTCCGTTTCTTCATTCCCGATGAGCTTGTGTGCTATGGGAGCAGAGCGAGCGAAGGTATGTGTTTTAGGTTAAACATGCACAAAGACGCACAATGGATGAGATACTTGTCTGTTATTATGTTAGATATGGAATAATGTTGTGAAGCACTTCAGGGCGGAGTTTGGAGAAGAAGAAGGCATGGAAGTTGAGGAATTAGCGAGCAGCTCGAAGGACGAGGATTACCAAAAAGAGTTCAAGATACTTGGACAAACAGAATTTGCACCTCTGAAAAAAATCAAGTTCGTCCATAGTTAATAATCATGTTTTTCTCATTAACTTCCTGTGATTTGAGGGATTGAACCTGCTTTGTCCTCGCAATAGGTCAAGTGCAAGAATTCACTCTGTATGGAAGTGAAGCCGTTCATAGCCTATCGTCCCATTATGGCAATATCATGGCATGAAAGTAATTGCAAGAAAAATTGAGACTGCGAGTAATATCGACAGCAACTAATTTAGCCATTCATGGATACGAGTGCCAGCTACTTTACGTGTCGGTTTATCGTTCCTTCGGTGTGTCCGCCCATTATTCCATGCTAGTATCAGCTGATAATTAAGTTTTTGTAGTTTATAGGCATTGCACATAGAAATGAGTACATGTAGATGATTCACATAGGAAATAAATCCGGCAGGAGGTTGACTAAAGTATTTGAAGGCGATTGAGCGCTTCCTGTGGGGATTGTAGGGCGCGAACGAGATTCTAATGGATTTTTTTGGTGGATGTTTCAAGCTTGGCCAAGAGATTCTTAGCTTCGACTGAGAATGCTGCAATCGTTTTTGTCTGTGCCAAAATGTGAACTCGTCATTAAAGGAGGCTGGTTTTCAAAGTTCAATGCTCGCATACTTTAGTGTAACAACTTCTTGGGTGTCAAATGCAACTTTGTTTCCCGCAGAACTGCACGAAAGTAATCTCGCGGACTTATCTTCAGTGTGTGACCTACCGGATGCACTATTAAAAGTGGTTAGGGAGCGAATACAATCATGGTTCCCTGTACAAGTGAGTTTCTTTGTCGCCGTTGATTTTTCATCTTGTGTTCGACTCTATTTCAAGAGTTAGATTGATTTCAGAAGTCAGTTCTACCCGATCTTCTTCACGACATAGCTCATGTACCTCCATTGCGACCTCGTGATATAGCTATCTCCGCCCCTACAGGTAATAGCTTGGCTGGAACCAATGTTGATCTGTTTCCTTGTTTTCCTCTAGTCATTCAACCTTTCACAGGGTCTGGAAAGACGTTGTGCTACGTGCTTCCAATTTTGGCCCAGATAGGTGCACGCCCTAATGGTCGATTGCGTGCGCTTGTAATAGCTCCTGTGCAGACGCTCGTCAAACAAATAGAACAGGTCTGTGGGAGTCTCACTATAAATTCCTCTTCGTTCTATTTTTCGAACTGATAAATGGCACATGTAGTTCGACCTTGACGACCAACAAAGGCCGATCTTCCGAGCGATCTTCATCCTTTATTTTCAATGAGTCACTCAATTATTTACGAGAATAATGATTAAAACGTTGTGGATTTGGGTACTATTCATTATCTCCAGATAAACAACATTTCTAGTTATGTGTTACAGTGCGACTATCCATCCAAATTTTCTTGAAAGCTTTGCCATAATCTCCAAATTCATTTGAATTCTTCTCAAAACTTTGAGTTGCGTGTTTCTTCTGGATCATTTGATTTCGAGCGTCCTTTTGCACCCATACCGCTTTTAAAATCATCATTGAGCTTTATAGGAGTTTATATCTTACAATGCATACGGTGCTATAATATCGGCATTATCTGGTGCCACAGATTTCTCGAAGGAGCAGAAACAGCTGGCTCCCAATGGTACTTGTCTATCAGACGTAATTGTTTCAACGCCAGGACGCCTTATGGACCATTTGACTGATTCATCCAGCGGTATCAAGCTCACATCTTTAAGGTGAATGTAGTTGTTCAATCGAAATGGAAATTAATTAATAGTTTCGAATTCTCGTTAGATTTATACTAGTTTTTCTGATTAGTTTTATCGTTACACAAATTTCCAGATTTCTCGTCGTTGACGAAGCTGATCGAATAGGCCCAATGGCTAGGCAAGAGTGGCTGGAAGTAGTAGAGCGTAGAAGTGGAGGTGGGTCTAGTCAATGACTTTTCTTTCGTTGCGTCGGTTTGACTTTTAACATGTTCAGGGCTTACGCGTTGTGCGAGCTTAGCTGACATTACTGCGTCGCGGTGGGCGCCAAGAAAAATTCTACTGTCGGCTACTCTATCTCGAGATGTCGAGGACTTGCATATGTGGAATCTCCACCAACCGCGCTTGTTTCGTGCAAATGTTTCTGGGAGCAAAGAAGTGAGTTGAAATATAAGCTTTCATTTCATCATATAACAACAACGCGAATTTGTTGCAGGTGAACATTGCGCTGCAGGCATTCGACCACGTTACGGGAAAACTGTCATTGCCGTCTACCATTAGGCACACGGTGTTAGCTGTGGAAAAGCAATACCATCCACTCGTTCTCTACTTAAAAATTGTGGAATATGACTGGCAGAAAGTGCTTGTTTTCACAAATGAGAAGTAAGTTTTGGAGCAAGGTACTTGAATATTCTTTAACATTCTGTCGGCAAGTACGCTCGTATTGTCCCAAACCTTTGTTAAAGCATTGTTATCGAAGCGAGTTCAATTCAAGATATCGCGGGTATGATTGCGCATTAGTACGCACATGAGCATCGTTTGCTTTCGATTTCCCTCAAGATTATCAGTATAGTATGAGCAAAAGCAAGTTAGTGTAAATTGTGGTCATCATTAACAAATGGCTGCCAACTGCCAACTGTAAGCGAAGATTGCTAACGGTAGAGAGAAGGCTCGTCTTTATTATGTTAACACCATCTCTATATATCCAATGTGCTACTGGCAGGATGACAGTCATGTCACCGCAGCCTTTGTTTTGCTGACGTGGGAGCTACAACTCTTATGCTTGCTCTTCAAAAATATGCAAATGTAATGTAATGTAATCGTCCTGCTGATGGGTGATTAGGGTGTTCCTTCCTTTGTGGGGGCTTCTCTCCATATACGTGTCCCTCCAAAACACCAAAACATTAGTCATTCCTTGAGAAAAATACAAAGATAAACACAGTGATTTTCAGGGAATCGTCTCAGCGACTTGCTATACTGATTTCTCGTCTTGCCCGGTCTAAATTTAAGGTTGAACAGCTAACTGGTGACTTATTTGGCAATAGAAGAGCCAAAGTTCTGAAACGTTTCAAAAGCGGCACGGTAAGTGTTTATTCCTCGCTTTTTTCATTATTCCCACCTGACCGTCTTCCTTTTTCTTTTCAATCCTTTCTTCTTCAAATGAGGCGATAAACGCTACTCTAATAGCAAGTATTAGAACCTCACTGTTAACTAATGTGTTTTCCTACTGACGAACCTAGCGTGTGGTCGCGGAAGCATATGAAACGTACACAAACTTACTGTTAATAATCTTCCTCGTATCTAAATGATTTAACACGTTGACGACAACGCGCGTTTGGCTTCTTTGACCGCGTGGGACCGGCGCGATTTTGCGAGCGCCGCCGCCTCAGGTCCTTCAGGCGAATTTTGCATGGTAAATGAATAAAACATGATTGATACAAAGTTAGATTAGTCTTTTCAGTGCGTAGAAGCGCCCCAGAGATATAGTAGTGAAAATTTGGTTGAAAGTCGGATGAAATAATAGTGAAAAAGCAAAATTTGTCAGAATCAGCTGCAATGAACGTCAAAAGCAATTTTGCACCGATTATTGCAATCAAAACACATATCTTGTCATCCTTAAGGTTCCGTATCTACTTCTACTACTATTTAAATATTCACATTCATGAAAAGAAAATGTAAACAAAAAATCAACTGGGTTGACGATTTCGTTCGGTTCAGAAAACCTCCCCTAATTTGAAGCACACGTGACCATTCTAAGAGCGACTATGTTATCTATGTTAAGGTTTTCTCTATGGAATGAATACAAGAAGCCTAAAAATGAATCACGTGTGCGCGAAAAAAATGAATGCATGGGTGCAGGACACATACGTCCC